ACCATCCTTGACATAGTTGTACTCTCTTGGAAAAGATACTTCCCTTTCTTCAATGGTTGGATTCTCGAGGGTATCATGAGTTTCCTCATCCTTTGTTTCTTCCTTTGATGATGATTCTCCAACATCATGTCTAACGTCATTTGTTTGTACAATACCTACATCATCATTAACACAAAAATCCTTCCGCGGAAGGAGATTATCATCGAAAACAACATGTATAGACTCTTCTACAACTAAAGTTCTTTTATTAAATACACGATAAGCTTTAGAATTTAAGGAATAACCCAGAAATATTCCTTCATCACTTTTAGCATCAAATTTGCCAAGGTTTTCTTTACCATTGTTTAAAACAAAACATTTGCATCCAAAAGGATGAAAGTAGCTAATGTTAGGCTTTTTATTTTTGAGAATTTCATATGGAGTTTTCTTTAAAATTGGCCTAATCATTACTCGATTTACAACATAACAAGCGGTATTTGTGGCTTCCGCCCAAAAATATTTTGGCAAATTATTTTCACAAAGCATGGTTCTAGCCATTTCTTCTAAAGTTCGATTTTTCCTCTCAACAACTCCATTTTGTTGAGGGGTTCTAGGTGCTGAAAAATTGTGGCTAATACCATTAGAATTACAAAACTCAATAAATCCAAGATTTTCAAATTCAGTTCCATGATCACTTCTAACACTAGTGATAGAGTAACCTTTTTCATTTTGGATTATTTTTGAAAATGTGATGAAATTTTCTAATGCTTCATCTTTAGTACTTAAGAATATAACCCAAGTGTATCTAGAATAGTCATCTACCAAGACAAATGCATATTGTTTTCCTCCCAAGCTAGTAGTTCTAGTTGGCTCAAAAAGATCTAAATGGATCAATTGTAATACTCTACTAGTTGATACATCATTAATAGATTTAAAAGAAACTCGTTTTTGTTTTCCTTTAGCACAAGCATCACAGATTTTATCATTATCAAATTTAAGCTTAGGCAACCCTCTTACTAAGTCTCCTTGAATTAACCGTTGCAAAACACTCATACTAGCATGTCCTAGTCTCCTATGCCATAACCAACTATCATGCTCATCCTTAGCAACTAGGCATAAATTAGTCATATTAATAGAATCTAAATGCACCATGTAAATGTTTCCTATTCTATGACCAACAAGCATAATCCGATTAGATGCAATGTCAATGACTTTACAACCATTAATTTCAAATAAGACATTGAATCCTTTATCACACAATTGACTAATACTCAAAAGATTATGCTTTAATCCATTCACATACAAAACATTTTTAATTTGTATGGAAGAGGTATTACCTATAGTACCAATGCCTTCAATATGCCCTTTTGAATTGTCTCCAAAAGTCACTTCTCCTCCATTTTTGGCGTTAAGCTCAATGAACCGGCTTTTGTCTCCGGTCATATGTCTTGAGCATCCACTATCAAGGTACCATGAATTTGAATTTATTTCCCGTGCCTTGTAGCAATGCTCTTTTCCCTACAAACATAGATTAACTTTTGATTTTTGGTACCCAAATTCTTTTGGGTCCATATTCATTAGTTTCCAAAATCCTAGTCCCCTTAGGTATCCATTTGTGTAGGATATTTTTATCTTTAATAGTAATGAGTTCTTTAGGAACCCACATACTTCTAACGATTTTTCCATTAGAGGTTCTTTGGGGACCTCTATGATTGTAGTTTCTAAAACTTTTTTTTAACAAAGTTGGATTTTGAATTTCCACCTTTTTCAAAATGTTTTGTTCCAACTTTATCAAAAGAAGTTTTAAGATCATCAATTTTCTTTTGATGATCATCATTGATCTTTGAAAGTAAATTTTGCAAATCTAAATTTTTCTTTTCAAACTCTTCTAGTTTGATTTGCAAGTCTTTGATTTTACTTTCAAGATCGTTGTTGGTTTTGGATATGAGTTTGTTTTCATTTTTAAATTTTGAAACATCATTTTTATATTTTAAAAACAGTTTCTCATAATCCGAAGCTAACCCATTGTATTCCTCAAATAACTCATCATAAGATAAATCATCAAAATCGGATGAGTTAGATGTTACCTTAGAATCTTCCCCGAATGCCATCAAGCACAAGTTTGCTACTTCTTGTTCCTCTTCATCGGAACTTTCTTCATCGCTCCATGTAGCTACATGAGCCTTGTGTTTATTCTTTGATTGACCCTTTTTCTTTAATTGTGGGCAATCATATTTGACATGCCCTGGCTTTTTGCATTAATAGCAAATGATTGGGTCCTTCTTCTTTGGTTCATTTTTGAGGCCTTCGTTTCGTTTGAATTTTCTTCCTCGGTAAGGTCTCATCATTTTTCTGAACCGTTTGGCAAACAATGCCATTTCCTCGTCATCATCATCATTATTAGAATCACTCTCATCTTTTGTGGATTTGAGAGCAACTCCAATGTTTTTCTTCTTCTCCTTTTCCTTTGGTGTCTCTTCAACTTTATCAAGGTCCACCTCATCTTCAAGCATCATCTCATGAGTGAGGAGTGAACCGATAAGTTCTTCAAGAGTTAAGGACGATAGGTCCTTAGACTCGATGATTGCCGTCTTCTTTGATTGCCATGATTTTGGGAGGGAGTAGACTAACTTCCTTACAAGCTTTTCATTTGAGATGATCTCTCCATATGATTTGAGACCATTGACAATCGTTGAAAATCTATCCGTCATATCTTTGATGTCTTCATTTGGTTTCATCCTGAAATTTTCATAGATATGCGTTAGAATACTAATTTTTGATTTCTTTACCTCATCTGTACCTTCATGTGTGACTTGAAGCTTGTCCCATATTTCTTTGGCGGTTGTACACGATGAAACTCTTCCATATTCATCTGGGCCAAGAGCACAAAAAATAATATAGATGGCTTTGGAGTTGAGCTGGAACATTCTTGTTTCTCCTTCACTCCACAACCTTGGATGAGTGATAGGCTTGATGTATCCTTCTTCTACGGTATTCCATGCTCCCATGTCACTTGCTTGAATGAAGTACATCATTCTATTATTCCAATAGGCGTAATTAGCTCCATTGAAGAAAGGAGGCTTGTTGACGGGCATCGAATCAAGACCGGAGTCGTAATTTGAAGTGGAGGCCATTGATGACTTTGTAATCGATGTAACTCTTCCCGAATCGACTCAAGAGGCGATTAAACCTTCAAATGAGTGAGGCTCTGATACCAATTGTTGAGTTAATCGATCGACGGAATCGGCCAAGAGGGGGGTGAATTGGCAATTAAAATTTCGTGGAAGCTTTTGCAGAAAATTGAAAGTAATTGCACAACGATTTACAGTGGTTCGACTTTCTCAAACAAAGTCTACGTCCACTACCTTAGCTATCCACACTAAGGATTTTCCAACAAATTCACTAATTTGTTCTTTCTTTTGAGGCCAAAGAGATAACCTTACAAAATCCCTCAAGAGTATACCCCAACTCTTGAGAACACTCTTTTTCCCAAAGAGAAGATTACAAATTTGAAAACTTACAAGAAAACCTCACAAGGTAAGATGTTTGCACAATTCTAGAACAAAGAAAAAAACACTCAAAGATAAATACGATTGAGTACAAAAGTGTTCTTGAAAGCAAATGAATATTGGATGAAAAATAGGCTTAAAATGCTCAAACTTGAGGTTTGATGCTTTCTCTTTGATTCTCTCTTGATTCTAGTTGCTTGATGTTTCTTGTTGTTGATCAATGGCTTCAGAACTTGTTTAAATACCCCTTGAATCAATTCTGAACGTTGGTGATAATTAGTGGAGTCAATAGAGCCGTTATTGTGTGAAAACAATTAATTTTCTAGGTGGAGCGTCTCATGCATCGATGCATGATCAAGGATGCATCGGTGCATTCGTGTAAAATTCAAATATTTTGACCGTTGGAACACTTGATGCATCGGTGCACCAAGTGTGCATCGATGCATGAAATGCATTCGATGTTTGAAAATAGCCTGAGTGCATCGATGCATGGATTGTGCATCGATGCATCAAATGCATTCGATGTTTTGAAAATATTCAGAGTGCATCGATGCATGGAGAATGCATCGGTGCATGGAATGCATTCGATGTTTCAATTAATTCATCGATGCATCGATGCATGGACTGATGCATCGGTGCATGCCTTTGAATAATTGATTTAAGGCTTGTTTTTGGTTCAAAATACTTTGTGAAAAATTGTTTCAAAAATAGTTTAAGTATAAATCACAATTTTACACATTTAGTAAGGATTAAAATTGATCTTGAAAAACTTGGAGTAATAATTTGATATTCGGTTAATTGAATCGAATATAAATTTGTAAAATCATTTGTAAAATCTTAAAATTTATTTAACTTAATTTGTTATATCGAAATATCAAAAATGTTTTCAACAATCACCCTGAGGTGTTCTTCCATAGGCTGAGTATTCTCTGGATTGCCTATTAGAATATTATCATTGACTCTGTTGCTTCTCCACTCCTCGAACCCTCGAGACACCATTAAATCAAAAGTAAATAGATTTACTCGATGAGTACGTCTCCAAGTACCAGCGACCCCTTTAACTTTATTCTTGTACAGTTCTCCCTTGAATGCGAACTCAGACTTAGATAACTCCCCTATTGCCAGAATAAACTGCTTGACCCAAACTGCCGGGAAACCAATAACGGGGCATACCCTATAGATCCCCAAATACCTGGTAATATAACCCAATCTCTGTCTCCACATCGATACAATATGTCTGATGAGACGTTCCATGAGGTACGCCACAGAATATCACTGTCTCGGATGTCTTTGAAGATGACTATCCACTTCTCCTCAGTGAAACCCCCGGGCCACTCCCGAGAAATGAAATCCTTCAACGGTGAAAAACCTTCTAAGAAGACCCGACCAGGTGTTCTCTCGATGTGTTTGAAATGACTAAGGATCCAAGTTAGCAACAATGGTGCACAACCTATGAAACGTCATTCTCCTTCTCGACGACAAAAGCTCAGGGAATTGAATGTTGCTGCCAGTATAGTTGGAACATGATCCACATGTCTATCCAGTCTTTCGAACACGTCAACCACTAATACATCAACATGTCCGAGAACTCTCGGGAAAATGACCAATCTATAGATACCTAGAGCAGAGAAGTCAATCTTCTTTCTTCTGTCAGGATGACAGTCAATCAATTCTCTCAGAAGGGTCCAAGTAATGCATTCGCGGTCTCCCTTCTTTTTTATGTCTCTCATAACCCATTCTTCGCTCATGTCAGTCATCAGAATAAGTTTCTTTTTAAACGAATGAGTATTCAGTGGTTTGGTGTATACTTTGTCTACCTGGAACCTCGGACAACGAATCAAGGCATGGTACTTATCTATAGTAGGCGTTAGGTCCACTCGGCCAAATGTAAAACGACTATAAGCGGGATTCCAAAACTGAGCAAGAGCTCTAAATATATTCCGATCAATCAGGACATCAATGAGATATGAAATGTCACCATGTAGTTGATAAAACAACTGCTTATCGAATACTTCCCATCTTCCCAAAATCTCTTTCAGCTCGTTCAGATCATTTTGATAAACGTTGAGGTGAGTATACCCTCTCATCTCTGATACATACCCTGACGATAAATTGTCTCCATTTGTTAGTTGGGACTGCTCGGACCATCTCAAGACATCTGCATTGTCCTCTACCTCTTTTTGAATCATTCGTTCCATATTACTAATCTTCTATATGGACATCGGTCATAGATCAACACCAATGAAATGAATAGTTCAATGCAAGATGAGGACAAAGTAAACAAAAGGAAAGAAAATTGGTCAGTAATCATAAATGAATTGATTAAATATAATTCAATTTATCGATAAAACCTAACCACGTGTTAGCTACCCAATCATGCTTTAGTAGATCCTACCCAAACATGATTTCTACCCATATGCTTTGTTTATAAAACATCCTAACCTTATGTCGTCTAGTTCGCATGCTTACCCAAGATTTTAAACCTAACCGTATGATTTCTAGTTCGCATACATTTATTCGAGAAATTAAAATTACACTAAAGAATGCTCAAATAAGCTTTTCCTTGTGTACTCTCCTCACAGTATCAAATGGTCTGGGTAAAGCTATATTTGGATTCTAAGTTTACTACATGGTGGGTTCGGTTCTAAAGTAAGAGGTCATCGAATTGTCTTTTTTCGGTACCCCTTTGGGCTGCCGAACCCTCAACCCTGACCCATCACAGGCTTTCGGATTGAGTTCAATGTGAAGGGACACACTTCCTTATGTCCATGTGGAGGTGAAAACCTCACGAGGATCATAAGGCGTGAACCCAAGGAGTGATTCACTATCCCGCACGAAGGTGAAAACCACACGAGGGAATAGCTTCTTACTCCTACTTAAATAGGTCGGAGCATGGTTTTAGCTCATGTTATGCAAATGCAGTGTGTGAGGAAAAGAGAAAACAAAGCAAACAACACTGAACAAAAAACTCAAGACCTTGAACAATTACTTACTCTGAAAACATTAGCAAACATATCAGTACAACTATTTAGTGGTTAAGCAAATTACGAGTAATAATACAAACAAAACTTATTTAAAACCAAACAAGGGATCAAAAACCAAATTAGAACGAACTTGTAATTTTATTTGCAAAGACAATTAATTAACCAACTATCGGTCTGACTCTCTAAAAAAAAGTCCCTAGTGGAGTCACCAAGTTATTGAAACGGTCTTTTTCCGGGGGGAGAAAAGGGAAGGTCCCGCTTCAAAAATGATTTTTGTATCGATCGATTAGTGGTAATACGTGGTTCACAGAGTCGCCACCAATATTTGATTAGGATGTGATTGGGCACCTAAAAATAAATTTGCCATTTTAATAAAATATTAATTTTAATTAAAAAGACAAACTTGGGGTTTGTGTTACTAAAATTTGAGCTCGGGAGTCGGTTACGCATAGGGAATGATTAGCACTCCCACAACGTCCTAAATCGGTACCTAGTCGATTAATTAATTTTTTTTGCAATAAAATGTACAAGTTCAAGTCTAATTTAATTTAAGATCCCCTAAAATAACATTTTTCAAAATTTTGAATGAAAGATAATAATAATTAATTATTTCCTATCAAGAAGAACCGATCTATTTACCTTGAAGCAATCGATTCTTATTCCAATCGAAATAAAGAAATATTAAAATTCCATTCTAAATTTCAAAATAATAACACCCAAAATAATTTTTAGAGAGAAAATAATAAAATTTAATTATTTCTGATCGAACATTATTATTTTGATTATTTTGAAAACACATACAAAAGTCAAACAAATTAAAAACAAATGATCAAGCAATCAATTATATTATTTATTTTACCAATATTTAAAGAGAATAAGGATATTCGATTAATTAAATATCTCAAGACAAAACCTTAGATTCAATCTAACAATCTTTTCTCAATGAATTTAATAAAAAGAATATGGTCTTGTCCTCGATCCCCCAAATTTTAAAAATGAATTCGATTTAATTTGTGTCATTTAGCGGGATAGACTTTCATTTTAAAATTATCGAAAGTAACTTTCTTATACATTAAGACATTCACTTTATGACAATATTAAAATGCTCGAATATTACCCTTAGTCAATTTATTTTGAATCGAATCAAGTAATGCTGATGAGGGTATCATATAAAATTAATTAGGACTAAAATGAATTAAAATGCAAACAACATGCAAAAATTTAAAATAAAAACAAAATTAGGAGTAAAACATGAATAAACAAAATATCATACCAAAATTAAAATAAAACAAAATATACAAGTGACTAAAATAAACATTTTCAATATCTAAGGCTACAATTGCAAATAATAGAAATAAATAATTAAAAGGGGTTAAATTAAAATAAATTGAAACTACATAGCCGAATTAAAATAAATAAATATGATATGTGGTGCTCGAAATATAAGCATGCAAAATATAAGGGGCTATAAATATAATATCTCTAAAAAAATAAATATATGGCATTAAAAGGGTAAATTTTAGAAACAATCCTTATAGGGACTAACATGCAAAAATATGCCTAAACTAGGGGGACTAAAACGAGATTAAACAAAAAATTATATAACATAAACATAAAATAGAAAAATAACAAAAATGGTCCCCTAGTGACTATTTTATAAAAGCGCGGCAAAGTTAGGGGGACCCAAAGGGTAATTTCTCCCGAAACTTTGCCTATTTATACATACATATTTTTTTCATTTTAAATTTTTTAGAGAAAGAATCTAAGATTTCGGCCGGTGGCCGGCCGCTGGTGACCGATGACCACCAAATTTCGCCGGAAGGTCCGTCTCGGCCTCCCTATCTCCGATCTGGGGTCGGTTTTGCGACAATCGGCCCTAAACTCTCCAAATCTAGCCAAAATTATTCGGCCTTCACCCCGATCCGCCATCGTCCACCGTTAGATCGAGCCCAAACCGAAGTATGTTGGTCTACACGGTCTTCTCTTCATTCCCAAAAGTGAGATCTTCGAACGGAGACCTCCAACACAGTGAACGATGCCGGCCAAAGGTAATCTTTCGCTCGTTCATTATTTTATTGTATTTTTTTTATATTTCAAATGCTAAAAAAATCAAAACAAGAAGAAATGTTTACCTTCAATATTATGCTTTTTTATTTCTTTGTTATTCTGTTCGAAATCCCTTCGAACTCCCCCTTATTACAGATATGATTCGGATTTATATACCTTTACAAATTACATTAAAAATATCTCCCACTTGTTTGTTATTGGACCACTTTTGCTAGTGGTAGTGGCAGGTATGAGCTACTTGATTAGTATAGAAAAAATAATTGTGGAAAATGATTTGTCAACACATTTTGGTAGAGAAGGTAGTAATGAAAAAATGAGTTGTCAATAATAATAATAATAATAATAATCCATTATTATTATTATTATTATTATTATTATTATTATTATTATTATTATTATTTTAAAGCCCGAACAAAATCGGATGTCTACAACAGTAACTTGACATTGAGCCTTACGTGAAATAACCTGAAATTTTCAAAACACGAACTAAGCCGGCTCAAAAATAACCCTACCACTCAATTTGGAGCTCTTGTAATCTTAGTTATTTGAATACTAATACAATTAGGCAAAAAAATGGTTTGCGGAACAATGTGATGTTGAATGGCATTTTAAGGCCGGTTAGGTTTATTGTTCGATCTTATTATAAAAGAAAGATTAGATCAATAAACGCAGTTCTATGATATTTTACCACAAAGTCTCGGTTCGTATTGATTGTGTATACTTCCGTGTCGCTCATTAAAAATTGCCTCTAAATGCAAATGGCAAGCCAACCCGCCATGAACAACGCTAGGCCTCGTACGGTACAGATCCGAGGACATCCTGTTGAACAAAAGAGTGGCTGCTGCTCTTCCTAGAATGTCAAATGTCGAAGTGGGAAGCTCTGTTTCTTCTGCATTATGCCGCTGCGGGTGGCGGCACGGTTGTGTAAGATTAAAGTGTTTCTTAAATCGTCAGTTGCACTGTTGCAGACCTTTTTTATATTGGACAAAACCTCAGAAGTAGAGGATATCATTCATTTCTAGTTTCTACGCACTTTTTAACGTGAAGGCTTTGTACAATGTATGATTGCTTGCTTGTTGATTAAATAATAATACAATTAGTTATTTATATTTACATTTAATCAATGTAGTCCTAATTTTAAATGATTTGACATATTTAACCTCTAAATTTACAAACTTCATTAATTTGGTCCATCCGTCCTCTCCCTTCAATCCCATGCTGTTGCTACCAATCGTTTGAAACACACCATGGATGTTTTAAACATGGATTTAATCAAATATTGTGATAAATGCTCTCCAATTCCATATCAAAGGGAAGATTTGGTAATGCTAATTTAGTAGCATCGGTTAAAGGAATCGTTGTTGTTTTTAGATGTTATGGATTCGAGCACCAGCGACTGCAGCATGGTGATTGAGCGTTCATTGTCAAATAGTTGAGAGTATTTAGAACAGATATTACTTTGTAATCAAATTAGCTTAATAAAAAAATTGATACCGGATTTAATTTCTCAAAATGTAAAATACCCTTTTCTTTTGCTACAATGCAAATTACACTCTTACTTATATCCAACCAAGCCTTCCCATCGTAACAGTTGATGATGGAAGAAATAGATTATGTTGTTCGATTAGTGATTCACCTATTCTAATTTGGGTAGAAAATCATTGACGGTGAAAAAATGATCGTTAGTCAACTAATTCTGTAGAAGACAAGGAAGAAGAAAAACGGTATAGGGAGGAGATTGTTCTAGGTTGAAGGTAAAAGAATCCCAAAAGAAGGTAGGGGTTCAAAAAGAGTAGAAAAATTCTCATTCTCGTAGTAGTGCCTAAAGGTCTCTATAGCTACCCTAGAAGAAGGTGACAAACATAAGGTAATTATTTGGATAAATAAAATATAAGATTCTGAACAGGTATTTTTTGAACATAAATTATCTTATAATCACCCTAAAATATTCAATAAAAAGAATCAAATCGAATTGCTTAACCGTAACAATTTCAAAAATTATGAAAATTTTGATATAATTATTATTCAAGTAAAAAAAATGATTACATGACTAATTCGAGTCTGATTCAATTTATGCAACATCACATCATCATTTTGTTTAGGGTTATGTCAAATGTGGCGTATGGCCGAAGATTCTATGCTTAGTTCAATTTGAAACTTTTGACTCTCAGTAAAGAGACATATGTTAAACAAGGAATCGAAATTAACAGCAGCCATTAATCCAATAATTTAAGAAATCAAATATTTAAAAAAAATATGGGCTGCTGGCCTAACCTATCAAGACAATACCGTTTTCATTTTTTCATTGGAATCAAAAGAGAATCTGTACATCTATCTATCTATCTATATAATATTATAACGTGCTAATTGTCCCTTCACTGTCCTTGTTCCTTCTCTAAGTAAACTAGGCTTTGAAGTTTAAACATGGGTTTTGCAGCAGCTTTCCTCCTCCTCCTCCTCCTGGCGGCTCCGGCAGCTCATGCCGTCCAAAATACAGTCGGAGACAGTGCTGGTTGGACCACCACCGGAGATCACGAGGGTTGGGTTCAAGGGAAGACATTCACTGTTGGCGACACGCTTTGTAAGTTACTTACTAAACATGTCATCATAACATATTGTAGAATTTAATTAAGAAATAATTACAAAAAAAATATCCCTGATATTTGATTAAATAGTCACTTTGATCCATATTCTTCTTTTTTGGAGCATCTTGACCCAACATTTATTTTAGGATAAAATGACCATGAAAATCATTAGTCAATTTGTTATTAAATTAAATAAAATTGATGAATTTTTGTACGATTCTGATTATGTAACTCTCTTTTATTGTAGTGTTTAATTACAGTAGCAGCCATGCAGTCGATGTAGTATCTAAAATCGATTACGACAACTGCAATTCCGATAATGCTCTGAGCTCTCACAATGACGGAAACACGGTCATCACACTGTCGAATCCGGGGCCGATGTACTTCATATGCCCCACCATAGGACATTGTGCCAGTGGCATGAAGCTTGCGGTCAACGTGGTAGCAGCCGGTGGCAACTCTCCGTCCACCCCGTTCGGTTCACCTACTACTCCCGGGACAACACCGAGCGGTGGCTCAACACAATCGCCGCCGTCACCACGGCCGAGCAGAGCTCCTAGCATCATGAATTCTGGTTTCGTGCTACCCGTGTTGGGAGTCATTCTTGCAGTTATGAGCTAAGGGAGAGGCAGTGCTGTTGGGTTATTGGCTTTTATTTTCTTGTGATTTTATATTATTTTTCCTTTTATGAACCAGAGACGTTGATTTATGTTCTTCTGATTTTCTAAATAATTTACCTTAATCATAATAAAAATATATATTTTATAATTTTATATTATTAATATTTTAATAATACAATCGTTCTATTTGATATTCTATTCACCAAAAATATAAGTCAAGTTTTGATAAAGTTTTAAAATATATAATATAATTAATAACTTCAAAAAAATGATATAATTGATATAACTAATATTTTAAATCAATATGAATATTAAATTCATTTTATATTTTACGTGTATAACAAATATTATTACATAAAAAATATCAAATAATAGAAACATTTGACAATTACAGCGACCTAATCGATGTATTTAGTTTGGTTCAGTAAGACATCATTATCATTAACTAACTGAATTTTATTCTCTCTCATATTTTATTAAACATACTTTCAATTCTTCTATTTTGCTTAGTGAACTTTACAGATTGAATCATTTTATTCACTCAACTGTTAATTTTTTAACAGTGTTATGACATGGCACAAGCATCAAAACGGCGTCGTTTTAAAAAACTCAAATATACACCAAAACGACTTCGTTTTGAATCTTCTTCTTTCCCCATTGTCGCTATCGGCCATCAAGTCATTTTTCATTTTGGCCACCGTCGACGGTCGTTGATGGTGGTCGCTTGGTCCCAAAATTCATGGTTCGGTTCGTCTCGACCCCCTGAGTCTGAATCTTGTAGTTATTTCACCGGAAAATATACGTTTTGGCTTCCTCACTTTCAATCTCTGATTTGTGGACTTTGTAGATTTGGACTCAAGGTGTCGAGACGAAGTGACTGATGAAATTTGAGACCGAACGGTCACCATCTACAATGTTCGATGGTGGCCGACATTGGCATCTTGCCACATTTTGTTTTTATTTTATAGTTGGGTGAGCAAAATAGGAGAGAGTGTAAAGTTCAGTGAGGAACTGTGTAATTTACCCTTTATATATCAATTATTTTTATATTAAGTAATGATAAAAAAATGACACATCATTGGAGAGATAATGATATAGTAAGCAAAATGATTCAATTTGTAAAGTTTGATGACCAAAATAGAGAAATTGAAAGTTCGTTGAGTAAAATAAGAGAAAGTAAAGTTCAGTGAAAAATGATATAATTTACTCTATCTTTTATTAGTCTTTCATATGTCAACTAAACCACAAAGATAGTAAGTATAGGTTAAATTATAATTTAATTCATCTATTTTAAATTTGGATAAACTACACGTTCAGTATGTCAATTATCACTTTTATTTCATTTTAGTTACTCAAATATTATTTTTTAAAAGCATAGCTAACATTACGTTTGAGTTTTATTTTGGTCATCATTTGTTAAAAAAATTAGCAGAACTAGTGATGCGATATTTAAAAAAATTAAATGAAAATGTGGCATTACATTAAAATATAATAGAAAATGTGATAACACACATCATCATTACCATGAATTTTTCAACAGTGAATGACTAAATCATAACGTATGTATAATTTTGAAATAAAAAATAATGAGGTGACCAAAAGAGAATAAAAATAAAAATTGTGATACTAAACAAATAGTTAATCTTTTAATTAATAATGTTATTGATTATAAAATTAATCGTTTAGATTAATTAATAATGTTATTAAAATAAAAATATATCAAATTGAAATATATATAAAATTTCAAAAGTTCATAAATTTTTGTATCAAATTAATAATGTTTTTTTTTCTTCTTAAGTCTACTAAACGTCAATAACACGTAATCAGCTGGGCACGAGTTTTTGGAGTTCGAGTTCAGGCCGGACGGGGAGCTCCGATTTGCAAACAACTCCAACTACAAAAACGACACCATGATCCGCAAAGAGGTCTTCCTCACGCTTTCCGTTCTCAAGGAATGCGGCCGCATCATCACCGAGAGCGAGGTCCCCTCTCGTTTTCAAACCTTCCCTTGCATTTTCTCTTCAATTCAACTTTGTCTAGGGTTTGGGATTATCCATCTTATTTGTGGTGAAAAACTAGTTCCTTTTCCCTCATTATATATATAATTTTCTGATTTTACTACTTTAGTTTTCCAAATTGCCCAGCTGTTTTTTTCTCTTCTTTGATAGGTTAAAGGATTTAGTTTTTAGTTGATTAATGAGTATATCTGTGATCAATGGTGGTTTCTGGGTGTTTTAACGCTCAGGGTGGTTTAAGGTTGCAGTTTTTATTGATTATGGTTTTTTGATATTGTTCAATTCTATTGTTTTGTCAATGTGGATCATGAGGGAAGATGATAACAACTGGCCAGAACCTGACCGTGTTCAGAGCAGTAAGGACCCGGAAGATCGGGTCCCTTCTTGATGTTCAGAGCAGTAAGGACCCGGAAGGGCTTCGCATATTTTATTATCTGGTTCAGGTCAGCTAATGTACATTGTCAATCTGCTATTTTATCATCTGTATTGCATCAATGAGCATATAGGGTGTGATCTTTTGGCCTTTATATCGCATCAATAGTATAGGGTGATCTTTTGGCTTTGTATCCCATCAGCGAGTATAGGGTGATCTTTTGGCCTTTGTATCATATCAGTGAGTATTGGCTATCTTTTGGCCTTTTTATCGCATCAATGAGTATGGGATGATCTTTTAACCTTCGTATTGCGTCAATGAGTATAGGATGATCTTTGGGCCTTTGTATCTCATCAATGCGTATAGGATGATCTTTTGGCCTAGGGTGATCTTTTGGCCTTTGTATCGCATCAATGAGTATAGGGTGATCTTTTAACCTTCGTATTGCGTCAATGAGTATAGGATGATCTTTGGGCCTTTGTATCTCATCAATGCATATAGGATGATCTTTTGGCCTAGGGTGATCTTTTGGCCTTTGTATCGCATCAATGAGTATAGGGTGATCTTTTAACCTTCGTATTGCGTCAATGAGTATAGGATGATCTTTGGGCCTTTGTATCTCATCAATGCGTATAGGATGATCTTTTGGCCTAGGGTGATCTTTTGGCCTTTGTATCGCATCAATGAGTATAGGGTGATCTTTTGGCCTTTTTATCGCATCAATGAGTATAGGGTGATCTTTTAACCTTCGTATTGCGTCAATGAGTATAGGATGATCTTTGGGCCTTCGTATTGCATCAATGAGTATGGGGTGACTTTTTAACCTTTGTGTAGACACCGTTTTTGTCCGGATCTTTATTAGTAATAGTTATTTTTATATTATTATTATTATTATTATATTATTAATATTACATTTACATTTTTGTTGTAGGCCAACCCAACAGCCCCAATCTACAGGCCCAGACCCGGAACCCAGCTCAATGCAAGCCCAACCCAAATTGACCCAGCAGAACTAGGGCTTCATCTTCTTTGCTCCAACGCCGCCTCACTCCTGACCATTGGATCTGGAACCATTCAACAGTCCAGATCACACAGAGCCTAGGGTTTCACCCTAAATGTATCAACAGCCAACCGCACCGCCGAGCCATCGGAGCCGATTAGAACACATCATCAATAGTGACCCTCAACAGTGAGATAGCAGAGAAATCAGTGAAAAATTAGAAGAAGAAAAATCCAAGCAAATCTCATCAAATCCAAGAGATGGCAGCATGAGTATAGGGATATCATTCCCTACGAACTCAACCATCCATCAGTCAGAAGATATCAACACATGCAACATAAAAAGAAAGGAGGAGACAAAGAGAAGACCATTCGGGTGAAAAGAAAAAAACAGAAAGTGATTCGAACCAGAGAAAGACAGAGAAAAAGAGAGGCGAGGGGTGAGAGTTTACCTTCCTTGAGCCCTCATCGGAGTCACGAAACGTCGGGTTTCGGTTGAGGGACTGTTTTCGTGGCCAAGAGGGTTGGCTACGGGGTTCGTCGAGCTTTTCGAGGCTCGGTTGAATTAGGTCGAAGAGAAGAAAGGAGAAGTGGGTTCCGTTTTGGGTTGAAGTGGGGAGTAGAGGTTTCGTTCCGGCCACCGTTTTGGTGAAATACGGTGGTCGTTGGCCAGTTATGGATAGTTTGGGGCTCTCGGCCGCCGTATAGGTTGAGAGAGTTCTCATCTCTCAAAGAGGAAGAGGGAGAGAAATGAGATAAGAATGGGGGCATGATTGGTTTAGGGTTTATTATGAGTTATTTATATATATATTACAAAATGATGTCGTTTCAAAGATGAGGGACCGCGCGTTTTGAGGAAAAGGGGTAAATCACAGTTTAGGTCCCCTTTTCTTTTGTAATGTTTCGTTTAAACTATTAAATGAAATTTATTTTATTTTGATTTGAGCGCTCATGTTTATGTACTTATATTTTAGTCTTGTTGTTGCCTGTTATGTCATTAATGTAAATATTTGACTTTGATCTCAATGTTTTTTAAATGATTTAATTTAGTCATTGATGTTATGTGTTTTGTATTTTCTTTGTTATTTAATTTCTGTCATGGAATTTGTAAATAGTTCATTGCAGTCACTGTTAACATTCGGTTTAATTATGTTTCAGCCCTCCATGTTCCTGTTTTATTTTATTTTAGTCATGTATGTTATTTACGGGTTATTTCCATTTTTAGTACCTGTATTGTTTAATGCTTGTAATTTTGGGCTATGATTTATTTGTAATTATTGTTGTAGTTCCTAAGTTTCTATTTGTTTCATTTTAGTCCTATAAATTCATGTTTATGCTATTTCAGTCCTTTAAGTTTCTGTTTTATCTATTTTGATCCCTAAAGTTTTTGTTTTATATATTTTAGCCCCTAAAGTTTTTGTTTTTTGCTATTTTGACTCTTAAGTTTCTGTTTTTATTGTTTTAATCATTTAAGTTTATGTTTTTACCATTTTTGTCCCTTAAGTCATGTTTATACTATTTTGGATCTTTGAATTTATATTTTTGCTATTTTGTTCTTTATCATTTCAAGTACTTAAATTTTACTCATTTTATTTCAGTTTGTAATATTTATTAGTTTTCATTTTAGTCCCTTATGTATGTGTATGCATGTATGTGTATTATGTTAATTTTACTTTGCATATTTATACATGTATATGTTGTTTATTACGATATGTTTATTTATTAATTAAATTTTAGTTGGTATGCCCTTCTATTTTTTTTAAGAACATTTGTCATAGAATGGGTGTGAAAAGTACCCCCTTACGGAGGAGGTGTGATTCAATACACCATTCGAACAAAAGGAAAATTTGAGATAAATCAATTTCTATTTTACTAATTAATTTGTTTATATTATAATTCAAATGATGCAATGAGTATTGTTGTAAATATCAATTTATTTTATTTATACAAATTGTTTATATTTAATTTATATTCTATTTGTTTTTTTAATCGATGAGGGAATATTTTTTTACGGATAAGAAATAGACGAGATAACTTTCCCGATAGAGGATTGCTAATCTCGAAGTTTCTTTTCAAGTTAAAGAATTTTCTGTAATTAATTATTTCGAAGCAAATTAATTAAATCACAATAAACGAATCATTGGTTAACTCTATATTTGATTCACTATTTTCACCATGTACGACAACGTGTAAGCGACATAGTACCAATTTTGGACGCTGTGGGGGTGCTCACTCTTCCCCACACGTAACCGACTCCCGAACCCATTTTTAATTGAATCTTTGTAAACGCATACCAACATTTTGTCTAACAAACAATTTTTCTTAAAATTGTTTTTTTAAAAGATGTTTTAGGTATTTGACCTACCTAACCCAAAGGTCGATGGTGACTCTTATTCAATATAAGTCAAATTAATCCAAAATACCCATTTTTTTCAAATTAAAGTCATAATCTATTTTTAAAATAATATTTAATTGTTTTAAAAAAAAGGTTACTACACTTTGTATTGCATCAATGAGTAGCCTTCATATTGCCTCAATGAGTATGAGGTAATCTTTTGGCCCTCGTATTACCTCAATGAGTATGGGGTGATCTTTTGGCCTTCGTATTTTATCAATGGGTATAGGGTGATGGTTTTAGTTTCCTATTTGCGCCTTCTTCTTGCTTATTGCCTCATAAGTTCTCTAACATGGTTAGTTGATACAGAGATGGTTTTATTTTAGTCGACGGACACTCCAAGATTGACTTTTGCCAATTTATTTCTGCTTTTGCACTGGATTTTGCTTTCTTTTCAATGCAATGCTGAGAGGCTAGTGTTGCTCGTCTTTCGGATGTGTATTTGAAACGAATTACCACAATAGTTGGAGAGTGGTGAATGGATAAGCTTACACATGTATTCTCTATCTTCAGTACAGTGATTCTCATGCACATGCTGATTAGGGGTGAGTATTCGAGTCGAGTTTTGCTCCCTCTCAAGGCCGATACACGAATGTTAGTTCTTGTATCCATGTCATGCTAGTGTCTAAGAGGGGTACAAATTAATGGGATGTACTCTCTTCTTCTGCTTATCTATGTTTGATTTTATGGAATGCAGGACTGGAAGTGCTTCGTATTCTCTCTCATCTCACTCCACTTCAAGATCAAGCCCATTTGAAAAGCGCAAATCGTCTATGCCGGGCACCGCAAAGAAAGAACAGCTATAAAACATTGCTTGAACAAAAGGAACGAACAAAACTCGATTACACTTGAAAAAAAAATCAACTTTTTTGTGATTTAGTCTTTAACTTTATATTTTATTCAATTTGGTCGTTCAATTGTAAATTTTTTCTCATTATGTCCTTTTATATTTTTATTAATAATTTTGTCTTCAAAATATACTATTTTAATATTACAAATATACATATGGGTGATTAGATAAAGTCGACAAGAAAATTAGAATCAATCTGAATCATAAAATTATAAATAGTTATACAAATATACATTTTATCATGTCACAGGCTAAAGACATGTTTTGTAAAAGGAAGGCCACGAGTGTTTGTCAATCCAACCAACTCCGTAGAGGATGCATTATCGTGTGAGAAGACTGTATGAGGGCAGATCCTCCAGACGTGTAATATCTTCAAGTAGAAGCTCCCTTTCCAGTTGTCGGCGCGTGGCCTTCATCACTGTCTGTAAAACACAACAGCCGTGAAAAGATAAAAGAGCCGTTCTTTTTCTTACCAGAAAGAAAGAATCTTCCGGTTGAGGTTGAAGCTGAAGAATAGAATACATACATTGAAGTCCATGTAGGATGCGCGCATAGCAAGCCACTGATGGTCCATTAGCTTGAATGTGATGCAATAGAGAAGGTCAAACGCTGATTCATTTTCTATCGAGGCCCAAAAAAATGCACCGTCATGGTTAAGAAAAAGAGATACTACTACCATATAAACAAAGAAAATCCAAAAAGGCATTTACCCGAAAGGAACTTCAAGAAAACCGCTCCAACAATTGTCCTTGGTTTGACTGCGGAATTCAAGCACATCAAATAGCAATCTCAATGAGAATACACGCAAAAGAAAACGGGAATTGCTTAAACAGTAGGCTTTTAATCAGCAAGATTGTGCTCGCGGGATATAATTATCCGTTAGATACATAAAATCGGTCATCTTACGTCGGAGAATTTGAGTACTCAGGAGATGCATGGAATTCTAGGATGCTTACCTGCTTCAATATCAAGCATCTGAATGAGCATAAAAGTGATGTTCACACCAGCAACAGCAAATGGATATTCCCACACAGACCTATCACCTTCCAGCTTCCAAAGAAGATCCTTGAAGGATTTCTGCATCGGATGGACAGACAAAGATCAAAACATCAACCAAACCTAGATATGAAGCAAAAACGTAGATGGAATGCTTTCCCGGTCATGATGGGCATAGTGCCCTTATCATTTCTCCGTTCATGAAATAGATGATAAAAAACGTACACAATGAGCATGCAAGATAAAATCCACAAGGTAACTAAATGCACATACCGGAAAATTCCTAGCAAAGAATAACAGGTTCTCCAATGATATAAAACCACCACCCCTGTGACATAAACCCAAAATATCAATAAATGCTTACCGAACAGATAACCATTCGAGGAAAAAGAAAATGCACAAGCAAAACGGAAATAGAAGGGGACACTACCTGAAATCTGTAGATGGATCCTTCCCTTGCCACCCCATTTCCTTCCACTGCTCGGATATTAAACCACGTAGTTCTTCTTCTGGAAACGCAGCATTCCATATGGCCCTTAAAGCTTCCTGTAGAAAAGCAGTAATAATGAATAAGAAAATAACACATGTAAGTCAGGAATGATGATTATAGACTCCAGCATAGCACCCAAAGTGTAAATAGCATCATTTAAAACAGGCACCTGATGCTCAGGAATTGAACTATCATAAGCAATCTCAATACGGTTCTGCAGCCTCTGCAAGCATTCTTCCTGACAACATGAATGGCAAGATTAGTTTTTTGTTCTGAAAAGAAAAGAGCAGAGCAAATTTTTAAATGTTTTAAGAAAATCAATCAACATGATGCTAGAAAGATATTCCAGCTTAGCAGAAATAGGCAAACACAAGGAGAGCGATACAACAAAACGAACCAACAAAATGAAATCATACAGTACATGCCTAAACAAATGCCACTTGTCCGTACTTCAATAGTTCAATTATATCACTAAACAATCTCTACAGTCAAATGACAGGTGTGCTATATGGGTTAATCATGTTGCAAGAAAAATGGCCAGCAGGTAAAGCCACAAAGATGACATCCACAGAGTACGTATAAGACATCTACAAAAGTACGAGTTTTTTAACACAACTAGGGTTCAAGTGACAGCATTAAACAACAGGTTACTTGTCATTAGTTTAAGTGATCAATGGTATACCAAGTAGCATAAAAGGTATAAGAGAGATTTTATCATCAGATTTATATTTCTTCGCAGATAGAGAATCACAAATTAAACGTGAAAGGGGCAAATAACCATCATAGTTGACAACGGTAGAGATCCACAGGTTGACCGGATCATAAACATTACCTGGGAAGGAGTTAAATGAAATGATGGGCGAGCATCACTCTCTCTGCTCTGTGCACATACACAAGAAAGACCTCGACCCAACCATGCTGTTGATCCTGCCACAACCTCAGCTGTAACAAAATAAAGAACTCTACAATTGAAAATGCATTCCTAAATCTTCATTTTAACTTCCTTCGAAATTTAGTGAGTACCAAAGACAACAAAGGAGTCAAATGGTTCACTACAGCAGCTAATAAAGACAAGCAAAAGAGAAAAAAAGCAAGAGAAAAACACCAGTCGACTATCTCCGATGAACATTAGAACGGTGAAAGCAACGGTATAAAAATGTGCACCCAAAGTCAATAAACAAGAGATGCACATATGATGGAATGAAATGATTTTATCTGAAACTTATCGACAGGGGTGACAGATTTTGTGTCCTACAAACTGAAAACTAAGCAAGCGTTGAACATGAACAAAAATTGGACTGTATGGGTAGATCTAGGGCTTTGCTTCATGAAAACTTGGAATTTACTGATAAATGAGTGAAAATTAAGTTAGATTTCGTATATCTTAGAACCTAAAGAGAATAAAACAGCGAGAGTTTCTTTTTGTTTATCTTTAACATCACGCAAAAAGTTTGAACGGAATAACATTAAATTATGCAATCATGCCCGCTAATCAAGGTTTGCCTTTAAACTCTTGCTATAAAAATTGGAAAAATGCCAACCTCTAGAGAGAAAGAAATCAGTATAAAAAAGGAAATAGAAAACCCTAAAGATGGATTCATCATAGAACCAAAAATTCCTTCTACCAAATAAAATCTCAGCAAAATATTCCTTATATTAACCAAGAAAGGCTCCAAACCAAATTTGAGCATCAGCACACAAGTTAGGGAAAGTTTTCGGCAACACTCAAAGCTCACTCACTTAGAAAGAAAAGGAGATTTTAAAGAAAGGACGTCTTCTTGCTTCAGAGAGAAAGAAGATTAAGACAGAAGAGAATAAAGAAGAGTCATTTAAAAATTTTACATACCAGAGAGAAGATTGGAGAGACTTGTAAAGTGTGGAAGATAGAGGGAAAAAATTATTTTCATAGAACAAAAATGGGGGGGAAAAGTGAAACATGGAAAAATAAAAAATGATAAAAGGAAGAAAGAGTTAATCACCAGAAGTAGAATGGCAGGTATTGCCTCGCTCGAGACCATGAGAAATCCTCCTCACAGCGACAAATGAACCCGCTCTATCGTCCATTTGGCCACACCTCGTCTCTCCTATCTTCCTATCTTTCTTCCTGTGAACCCTAACAGACAACTCGGCTTTTCCACAATTTCAAACCTGTAATCAATCGAAAAAGTGAAGCCGATGAAACTCATAGTAAGGAAAAAAAACTGAAAATAGATTCGAGTTTTACTAAGATGGCGAGGATGTAAGAGAATCAAAGCGAGACAGTATCAAAACAATCAGCAAAGCAACCTCGATGAACAAGAACGCGAAATTCAGGTAAAATCAGAAGGAAACCGGATCGAAACCAGCCAGAACTGAATCAAAAAGAACATAAGCTTTAATATCTTCGTAAGAAAAAATGTTCAATTAAGCTGCGGGAAAAAATTAAACCAATAGAGTTTCGAAAAGTAAAGTACAGTTAAGCTCCGATCACTGGCTACCTAGATTCTTGAAAAAGAAAATCAGAAAGGATCTTGAGAGAAAAATACAGAGAATATTAAAACGATCATAAAAAGAAAAAAAAAACGCTACGGTTTAAAGATCTAACAATAAAAGGTATTCATTCTTGAGAGAAAAATCTAGAGAATCTTTAAACGATCAAAGAAAATACATTCGAATTTTACTCGAGATGAACAAGATGTGAGAGAATCAAAGCCGAGCAGTACCTAAACAATCAGCAAAGCAACCGCGATGAACTAGAACGTCAAATGCAGGTAAAATCAGAATGAAACCGGATCGAAACCAGCCAGAATTGAAATCAAACAAAACCAAAATGTTGATATATTCATCAGAAACAGTGCTCGATTAAGCTGCGGCAAACAGAAAGAGAAAGCCAAAAGAGTTCGGAAAAGTAAAGTACGGTGAAGCTCCGATCAACAGTTACCTGAGATTCTTCAAAAAGCAAATAAGAATCTGGAGAGAAAAACATTCTAGAGAATCTTTAAATGCAAAAAAACCCCCGCTAGGGTTTAGAGATATAAGAATCTACTGTCCACTGCAAGCCACGGAGGCGGAGCTCTGTCTCCCCTTATTTTTCTCTCACTGTTGCTTGCATCTGTTAGTTTTTTTTTTTCCGGCAAGAGCCTCGGAGTGGAAGGTGAGGTCGTGAGGATATATATTTTATTTTCTCTAGGTGAAATTATGACTGTGATCCTTATACTATAATAAAATGTATGATTTAGACCTTGTTCTTTAGTTTAGCATAACTTTATCTATTTCTATTTTATAATATTATTAATTAGGCTTGTTATACCCCAAAAATAACATAGCAATAAATGTTTGTGAGACTTATCAAAATTGTTATTCATGTCTATGTTCCCATCAACAGGGTGTATTCAATCCTAGGCCTACCTAGGTTATCCCAGCATTTTCCATCAACAGGGGCGTATTCAAGCCTAGTTTTTATTTTAAATCACATTTAATTTCACGTTTTGTTTTTGTTTTGTTCAATTGTCTTTAAAAAATTAACAATGATGTTGATGTGTCATCATAAGATAATGCCATGGTACGATTGAAAAATAGTTAAAAAAATGTCATGTTAACATCAATATTAATTTTTTAATGGCGAGTGATCAAAATAGAACAAAAAATGTAAGATTAGCTATTATTTTGAAAAATAATAATAATTGAGTGACCAAAACATAAATTAAGTAATAGGAGGATGACCAAATTGTTAGTTTACCCTAAATAAAAAACATGTATGAATTATGCTAAGAAAATTATATTGATCCATTTACTATATTTTTCTATATTTAATTCACATAGATATAATTGTTACTATATTTTTAAATTTAAAATTTATATAAATTATTTTACACTATGAGATTTAATTCATTTATGAGATAATGAGATTTATTAATATTTTAATAATCTCGTCTTATAAATGATATAGAAATATCAATCTTAACCCTTTATAAAATTAATAACGATTAAATCGAGTTATGATTAGATCAAAGTTACATGAAAAAAAAAAGTTCACATTCTAATTCTAATTGAATCTCTAATGTATGATAGAGTATATTGTCACACACCAAGAGCCCACAACCGAGGTTAGCCCATAAAAAAACAGCTCAAATGGTGGTTTGGATCTTCTAGAAGCCATAAAGACTCTAGTGACATTTAAATTTATATAGATAATGTCCGCTTATTTTTTGTAAGTTCCAAGGGCGTGACAATATCATCATTTAAAAGTTCACAATCATGATTAGGGATGGTAATGGGTCGGCTCGGGTCGGGTTTTTGGGCCACCCGACCCGACCCGAGAAGAAAGGGTTTTTCACCCGTGACCCGACCCGACCCGACGAAATTAAGGTTTCACCCGACCCGACCCGACCCGAATATATGACTTAGAAACCCGACCCGACCCGACCCGAAATAATAATAAAAAAATTTTATTCAATGAAAACAGTGACTTAATTGAAAAAAATTATATATGGAGGGACATTATTGTAATTATCCCTAAATATATATGATAAAATTATATATATTTTCGGGTCGGGTCGGGTCGGATTTTTTTCACCCTAAACCCGACCCGACCCGACCCGAACCCGAATTTTTTTAAAAAAAAATCTGACCCGATCGGGTCGGGTCGGGTCGGAACCCGTCGGATTCGGGTTGAGTTGCCTCGGATTCGGGTTGAGTTGCCATCCCTAATCATGATAGATACATTGAAAGTATATAATTGATACAAAATTTAATAAAGATCTAATATGAACACCATTAATCCTTAATATATTAACTATGAAAGGGGAAAAGGACCAAAAGCTTAGCTAAGCTATTTTTTTCAAAAATATATTTTTAAATAGCATTGTGAATTTATTTCATTAATTTAAATATAAATATTTATTTTATTTTATTAAAAAGTAAACTAATTATAAGTTAAAAAAAAACTATTTCCATTTGGATAATTCCAAGAGACCCAAATGCAAAGCCTCAAAAAAAATCATTTTTTCCATTTGAAAAGTATTTTTAGAGTTAAAATTACAATTTTATCCTTATTTTGTTATCTTATAGTTTTGGGTATATTTTACAATTTATAAATTTATAATTCTTTTATCAATATATACTTATATGATTAATAAATTATCTGCCGGTTTAAAAATTATATATCTCTTCATATCAATTTTTAGACAAAAAAAAATATTCTAAAATTAATATACTTTCGTAGAACACATACAATCGTTATAAATTTATTAGTTTTATTTATTAATAAAATTAAAATTTTATTTGTTTTTCATAATTTAAATTGTTTTATTTCATATATTAGAATATTAAAAAAATTAGATATCATTTAAATGTATATTTTCTAGTTACAACATTATATCTAAATGATTATCATCTCAAAAGTATTTTTTTTTCACAGTTAAAGAATTTAAAATACTTTTCTACCATACTTTTCAAAAGTAATGATAAACTAGTCATTAGTTTTTTCGCTTACTCAATCTTGCTTTTAGATAGAGATCTAGTTTCCCACCATTAGGGATGGTCACAGATCGGGTGGGTAAAGTTTTTTATTAACCCGCTCTGATCCACAAAATGATTTTCCATTCGAACCCGATCAGAAAATTATATATCCTCCACCCGGTCTGACCCGACCTAAAAAATATATATCATCCACCTGATCTGACATTATCTAAATTTTTAGAGTATAAATATGACCCAACCCAATATAAAATAATAACTTAATTAAAAATGATATTTTTTGGGATAAACTATACCAGATACCACCCAACTATAGTCCCTTTTCATTTCGATCACTATTTTTTAATTCTTGTCAAGCAAACCACCCAACTATTAAAATGCATTCAATCATACTACTAGTTGTTAACATTTAACGGAAGTCGTGATGTGGCAGTTAATAAAACTGGTATAATTACACATTTGATCCTTGATATTTATACATTCTTTCAATTTAGTCCTAATTTAATTTAATTCAATAAATTTAAATCCTTTAATCATATGCTGACACGTGTCATCATCAAATTAAAGAAAAACAAATTTCAACAAGTTGAGCAGGGTGGAGTTTTAACCCATGTCCTACAACATGGAGAAGGAAAAGCAAGCATTGCCACTGAGCCAAGCTTTTAATTAGGCTTACATAATTTTGTATAAAACCTATTGTGGTTACTGCAAAAAAAATAAAGATATAAAGAAATAAAACTATTTATTTAGAGACTTAAATCTAAGAAAATTATAAGAGTAGGGCTCTCTAATCACAAACTTATATTTTTTAATTTTACATTTTAAGACAAAATTTAATATTTTTAATCTTTTTCATAGTTGTAATTTAATGATTTTAAATTTTAGATTTTAGTCGAATAATATTTCTTTAACTTTTGAATTAAAATTTTCATTTTTAAAATTATTTCTTTAACTCAAAGGTAAAAGTTAAAAATATTAAATTTTGAATTTACAAATTGTTTAATAGAGTCAAAATATTTTTAACTCAAATGTAAAAGTTAAAGTCATTAAATTATAGTTATGACAAAAATTATTAAATTTGTCTAAAAAATCTTAAATTTATTTTTAATTTTTTTATTAATTTGTGATTAGAGTGCCATAATCATATAATTTGCTTAGATGTAAGTCCCAAAATAAGTAGTTTTCTTTCTTTTTACAGTAGCCACAATAGGTTTTATACAATATTATGTAAGCCTAAACACAAATGAAGGCTTGGCTCAGTGGCAATGCTTGTTTTTCCTCTTCCATGGAACAATACATGTGTTTGAACCCCACCCTTTTCAATTTGTTGAAATTTGTTTTTTCTTTAACCTTGATGTGACATATCATCTGGTTGGAGAAAAAATGTTATATAAAATAAATTAAAATTATATAAAAAAACTCTCCAATCATATGATGACACGTGTTGTCATATGATTAGAAGATTAAATTTATTGAATTAAATTAAAGTAGGACTAAATTGAAAGAATGTATAAATATCAATGATCAAATGTTACTAATTGAATGGAATAAAAGGAATGGGCACGTTGCTTGGCAAAATGATTTTTCCAAAGAAGCAATGTTAGGTAAAGCTATCCAAAAGTAATATAATTCTCCTTTTGTTTTTCCAACTAAGCATGTCACTATAATGGGATAGACCTATGGAAGGACAAGAAGCTTGTGGACAAAACAATCGCGGCCACTAACACCAATCTTGTAGATGAGCCTTTGGGGTCTTGCCTATTGCCCATCCCTTCCCACACAAGCATTTTCAAAATCAAATTAAAGTTTTTGGAACTCATTTTTAGGGTAAACCTAATATTACGTTTTGATTCTGTTTTGGTCACATATCGTTAAAAAATTAACTGTAATGTTAATGTGTCATCATAAAATAATGTCACTCGGCATTGAAAATAATAATAAAAAATGTCACGTTAACATCACCATTATTTTTAAGTGGCGGGTGATCAAAACACCACCAAAATGTAAGATTGGATATGATTTTTAAAAAATAATAGTTAAGTGGAAAAATAGAAACCAAGTAATAAGCGGGTGACCAAATGGTTATTTTACCATTTTTCTAATAAACTATTATAAGATAATATCTATGTCGATATTAAATCTGACTAAACTTATAAACACTTACGGACAAAACTATTTGAACCCAAATCACTTAAAAAAAACAACATTCTCTTTATCACTTGTCTTCGCGTCGAGTTCTTTTAGAATTCAATCACATTACTAATATGAGACATGTTTTAGGGTTAATAATTAGTCCCTTCAACCTTATAAAATTACTAAAACCATAATCCCACATTAAATTAAACTACAATCTTTTTATAGATAACCGTAGCTTCCAAAACCCTAATTAATCCTTGAAACGTTTGAACTAATTAATGTAATAAATGAGCTTGACATTGGTGTCTTCTTGGTACAATACATTGTGTACGAAGCAAGTTAATTAGTGTGCTTCGATTAAACCGATCCACCAACATAAGCTCATGACTTGTCTTTAAGACCCAGTCAAATTTGGACACGGCTGTCATGTTATGCCGGCTACAAGATTAACATTCCCGTTCAAACCCAACGTGGGAAACTCTCTTCAATCATGATCATTGATTGATGATGAGATGCACCCTGGAATCTTATACACTGTTTGTTGACCGTATTCATCCATTAAACAAATATGTTAAGACAAGTCCGTCCATTTGATAACTCATCAAATGACATCAATAGTTAAAGGAGGGTTGTTCTCTTTAGAGATTTTAAATTTAAGTAATTACGTTATCGGGTTTGTATGCGTTATCAATGATTATTTTTTTAAAATATACTACTCTGTAATCACTCTAAACTACTACAAAAATCGTCCATTTGCATAGAAAATCTCACGACTGTGCATTTTTCCTCGTTTGATTTTTCTCGTCATTTATGAGATATAAAGGCATGGGGACGAGGTACGTGGATTGGTTTCCTTTGACCGCCTTGATTTAAAAACTGAAATTTTTATTTGATTTCAATTCATTTCGATGTTTAGAGATGTTTCACTCGTCTTTATCCACCTTGAATTTTGGATAAAATCGTATCCGATAGAGTTATCATAAATAATAATCTCGAACCAGGTTAAGAATATTTTTATCCTAAACTCTGATTTTGTTTTGATTCTGATTTTTTCTTTACAAAACTTATCTTAAATCTTAATTTAAATAAAGAAACTTTATAAGATCAGATCGAATCAGAATTATAACATGAAAGTGTAAACGTGCAATTGTCAACAAAATCATGCCTTGAACCATCTGAATGGGTCTAAGATTTTGAAGGAACAGACCCCTTAAGGAGATTGTTCTTTACATAATTGATAGAAAAGTAAAACGAGGAGAACCGGTGAAATACTGAAATATAGGGAGAGAGAGAGAGAGAGAGAGAGAGAGAGAACAGGGCCACATGGCATGGGGTCTGTCTTGTAAGAAATTTCGAATTAAAGAACAGCTTCAAAAGAAAACACAGTGCATGGTGCAATAGAAAGATGTCTCACTTTTTAGGTAACAATTGAACCCTTAATCATGGAGGCTGGAATGAGGATGTCTTGCTGGAAACCACCTTTCGTTTCTCCTCCTTTTTCATACACTAATTGAAGTTTGGTGGTCAAGTAGTCAAGTGTAGTTGTCAGCAACCCAACATCATGTGTCAATGGTGAAGGGATCAATTGGATTAGTGGACAATATGCCTAGTGAAATCATCACCATCAGATGGTACTTTGCTTGTTTATAGAACATCTTGACGATGAAGCCGATAGTGTTATAATGTAGTTTGAACGGTGACCGGTCCGTTTTCTTGACGGGAAAGAAGCCATCCATCAGAAGCTTGTAGACGTCGGCGCCCCATATGTGCGTACCTCTGCAAAGAAACTCTGAAAAATAGTTTGCCTGATGGTTACAAATAGAAGAAGATAATGACAGACATGTTACAGTTCTTTGATCCACTTTCTTCATAAAAAGAAACTCAAGCTTTAAACTTGCATACATTACAAGAGAAAGAATGCATCCCATTAAATTTTCTTTTTACACGAATATGTGAGTTTGGAAATATTAAATGGTTTACAGAGGTGTCCACTTCGGCGAATAGTTACAGACAATCGCTTTACCCCCGTGTTTAACTTCACCCGGTTGCCCTGTCATTTTTCGGACCACAGACGAGTTCAAGGTTAAGATCTCCAACTCCCCTGGGCGGACCGATGCTGCACCGAGCCGTGTTGTGCATTTCGATGGCGTCTTTTATTTTTTGAAACTGCAGACCATTTTCAGAACACCAGATTAAGAAAAACAGTGTTTATATTTGATGGTATCGTATGCTAACATGAGGTCATGAATGATGCATATTTCGATGAACATGAACCTGGTTTTACGAAGTTTGTTCCCGGAGATTATCGTTTTCACGCTAATATATTCTTGGTTATACAAATCAAGGACTGTGAGGTATTTCTTCAAGAACGTCTTAATCTAGTTGAGCTGTAAGAGAACACTTGAGGTCATTGACCTACATTTGCCCAGGCACCAAGCAAAGCAGTCCAAAGAAAGAAATCAACCGTTAACTCCTTGGTTACTATAAGGTGTCTTCTATTTCTAGGAGAGAACTCATTGGGACCATTTTCCAAGCAATCATTTAGAAATAAATTCTATGGTCCGACACCGAGATCGGAACAAAGAAAGCAGAAACAACTAACCTTAGCAAGTGAACAAGAAAACGACTCCAACTGTCCATCTGCTCCACGATAGAAGTGGAAATAAGGAAGCACCTTAACATTCAAACTTTTACACATAGGTTTGTTCTCATCGAAATTTACTTTGAGGAATAAAATATCCGGATGCTCTTGAGCAGTCCTGCAAAGCTGAGTGATCGAAGGGAAAAAGGCAGCTCTTAGACTGTGCCCTGTTCACTTGGAAAAACTCATTCTCACCCTATATTCAACCAAATTAAAGGAGCTATTTGGAGCACCAAAGCGATTCGAAGGCAACCATATCAAGCAAACAATCTTTACAAGGGTGTCAAATTTACAATTGGATAAGACAATAAGCAAAAAGGGTATCCTGAAAATATGTTTTCGGCAGAAAAATGTAAGTTTTTTCATCAACTAATATCCCTCAGGCTCCGTTTTGATACTCACAGCACCAACATCAAAGCGACACTCTGACCTCTAATAAACACGAATAGTAACTATGCATTTTAAGTAGCTGCTGCTTCTCTATTATCAAGAGCTTAATTTTTTTTTTCAATCGTGGTACTCAGTCTTGAGGTTATGCCTAACGGAATATTACACAGCCACGAAAAAGTGAAGCGACTTACCTTGGGAAATAATGCTCTGCATGAAGCACACCAAGTACCATAAAATTCCACAATAACCAATCTATCTCCAGCCTGACTTAAGGCATCCAAAAATTCTTGTGTAGAATGAATATCAATCATATTTGGTCCCGAGTTTCTTTCCCACCATTTTGGCTGTTCAGTTTCGTTAACAGTTGCACGTACCTGAAGTGTAAGAACTCGGTTAATACCACCGTCCCGTGAATAGGAGAAATGATACAAAAAAAATCATTCAAATAGATTAAGTAATGACAGAATGTTCTAACGACACCGACATTAACAGGCTACTTTATACCATCCGTATTCCATAAACACCACTACTAAAAGAAGTGAATTCCATACATCACATTACAATCACTGACTTGAATATAATAGCATGGAATTTCAAAAACCTTTAAAATTTCAGTATATTTTGATACTTCAGTCCAATGCAAATAGTTAATTCAGATAAAACAATGTATCAGTCATACAAAAGAATCTCATGCTCTGGAGAGAAACAAGCTGGCAATTACGCAAATTGTGGTAGAGTGATGTAGAATAACCCTAGTAGATAAGCTACAAGTAATGACAGAATGTTCAAACGACACCGACATTAACAGGTTACTTTATACCATCCGTATTCCATAAACACCACTACTAAAAGAATTGAATGCCATCCATCACATTGCAGTCACCGACTTGATTATATTAGCATGGAATTTCAAAAACCTTTTAAATTTCAGTATATTTTGATACTTCAATCCAATGCATATAGTTAATTCAGATAAAACGATGTATCAATCATACAAAAGAGCCTTATGCGCAGGAGAGAAACAAGTCGGCAACTAAGCAAATTGTAGTAGAGTGGTGTAGAATAAAGCTGGTATATAAGCTACAAGTAAAATTAAAGATATTTGATCCTATCAAAAAAAAAAAAATTAAAGATACTTGAAGAAAGGCTGCTCATTTTTTGCAAGCTAAAGTGAAACATGGTGGACTTAAATCGGCAGAAAAACATCACTAAAATCCACGAGACAAGAGCCTTACAATTGAGGAAATTTTGCTTTACTAAAAGTAAACAGTTTTCAGAAGTACCAAATAGTCAGCAAACTAGCACACAAAGCCATTACAAAGGACCTTCACCTTTTAAACAAGCTTTTTACATCAAGTATCGAAATTTAGCTCAAAATGAATCTAAAGATACCTAATTTAATGACAACATTCCGCAAGAAAAGAAGCCTGATAAAACAACTACTTACCCTCTACAATAAGAACCATAATTACCAAGGAAAGTTGCAAAAGGAAACAAATTTAGGAAAAGGGAACTCATGATTTTAGCTAAAGAATTGAAAGGGAATTCAAAATCAGGAAAAAGGAAGATTGCAATTACCTTGAAAGAGAGCGATAATTTTCTGGGAGAACAAGCAAGGCGAGCAGGACCAATAGGAACAATCTTATCCAAATTCTGATTGATGGGTAAAAGAGACGACAGAGGAGAATTCAAGGCCAGGTGAAAAGTGGTTAGCTGATAAGGGGAAGATAATCGAAGTGAATGAATTAACGATGATGGTGATGATCGAATAGCGTCTGCCATCAAGAGATTACGAGGAAAAAAACTAAAACCAAAACAAGTCTTGGGGTTTTAATTATATAAATCAATTTAGAGTGCTGGGATTATTCATATTTATATGTTTATTTTAACTAACTAAAAAATTATAAGTGAAGAGCAGGAGGTTGAAGAAGAGAGGAAGAGAGTTTCGTTTAGGTTGAAGAAGATCGAAAGCAAAATTCATTGGAAGAAGACGCATCCACGTATGCATCTTCAATACGCTTGTTTGTTTTCCCCAAAATACGCTGTCGTTTCGTTAACACTTCTTCCGTTAAGCCACATAGTGTACAGAGAGATGGGTACCCGGTTTGATAGAGGTGTTCTTTGTCGATGATCATAAGACCGATGAATTTTCAACCAATTACAAATTAAAGAAATTAGAATAAAATTGATTAACTTTGAAATTGAGTTGTTATAGACCATTAATATAATATTAATATTTTTTATCAACTTTATCTTTATATAATTTTAATTTATATAAAAATAATTTTAACCTTCAACATAAATACATTACATCAAATTAATGTTAATTCTAAAAAACCAACAAATTTAATCATAAACATTTATAAAATATGTAAATATCAACAAATTTTTTAGAATATGTTGATGAGAATAAATTTATCTCATTGATCGTTGACATTTCATCCTTTTAATTTGGGTGGAGAGCTGTAATCGGTGAGAAAATAATAGTTGACCGATACTTTTATGAGAGAGAAAATTGATCATAAGGAGAAGATGATAATGCATATGGAGGTTATGGAGGTCACGATCTGTAACATCCTGATTCTCGGGTTAGTAGTTTCGGGTGAAACCTGAATGGGTTTTAGTAGGCTAAGGAAATTATTTAAGAGTTTGGAGGTCAATGCATAGTTATTTTGGTTTGGGCTTGAGCCCGACAAGGGTTAAAAAGGGTGTTTTGAGTTGAGCATCAAAGGAGAAGGACTATGAATACAATTTTCCCCTAGCTTGGTCAAAAGGATGAATCCTTTTAATTGCATGGTGAGGTCACGACATAAATAAAACACAAATATGGAAGAAGCTCTTGCACCTGTCTTTTTCTTCACAATTTTCTTGTCTTCTTCTTCTTTTTTTCTTCTTCTCTCCTTGTCTAAAAGGAAAGAAAAGGTGAGAACTTTGTTGGTGTTCATCCCTAGCCCAAAATTAAGAAGGTAAGATTAGCAATGATCTCATCTAGAGCTTTAAAATGAGCTCTCAACCTTGAGGTTTGGCCATGGTGGCCAAGGTTAGGTTAAGAAGGGTTTTGAGTTCTAGAGTTTAAAGATAACTCTAGAACATTTCTAAACCTTAGAAACCTTATTTATAACGTTCCAAACCTTTGAGAGAGTTAATGACTCCCCTGTATTTGCTTGTTTTAGTGAGAGAAGTGGGTGAAAGCTCTAAAGGCCAAGGCAAAGGAAAATAGACTCTTGGTTGAGCTTGAGGTCATTTTTGTAGCTCTTAGGTGAAAGGTAACACACTACTAACTTATCACTACTTTTTATAGATAAAATGTTAAGTTTTGATGCAAGTTGTGTGTGTTTGAGCTTTTGTGTGCACTTGGGTGGGGGTTTAAAGCATGAAACGGGATTTTTTGTTATTTTTACTTAAAGTGATGACCTTTTATGCTCCTTACAAGCTAAATAAGTCTTAATTACCAAATGGGGATGTTTGAAGTACCTTAGGAGTGGTTTGAAAGTGTTTTCATGAGAGAAAATAAGGGTTCAGGGTCGAAGGTATCGGTACTGTAAGAACAGTGTCAATGATGTTCTTTGTGAAAGGCTAAATTTTTTAATAAATGTGAGAGGGTATTGATACTCACTAGGGATTATCAATACTATATACCATGGGGATTGGTATCGATACTTGGGGTTCTAAATTGATTCCAGTATGCTATTTTGGTACTGATACTCAGAGGAGTATCGATACCAATGGGGTAGTATCGATACTCCCCATAGGGGTATCGATATCGGGATATTTTATGAAAGATCGAATGCAAAATTGGTATAGATACCCAAGGGAGTATCGATACCGAGGGGTGGGTATCGATACTCTCAGGTGAGTATTGATACCCACATGAAACCTTGGGGCAATTTTAGTAGCTGATTTGAGGAGGATAAAATAGGGTTCCTTTAAGAGGTACACTCTTCCATAAAACTAAAGTAGTAACAAGAATTAAATGTGTGATAACTTAAGGTCTTAATGAGGTAAGATTCCATAAGACTTATGCCTTTGTTTGATGCTCGAGAAACAACAAGGACACCTGAGTTACTTAACGATGCTAACATGTTTGTGCAAAGATTATTCGGATAATTCCAAATCATTGCTTAGGCATTCTAATTGCTAGTTAGACGTTGTACCGACGCTACGTGACCCGTACACATCCCGAGTACTCTAGAGGAGTAGACTAGCTGGGTAAAGTACCAATGCTTCGTGACCCGGACCTAACCCGAAATTTAAGGAGACATTGATGCTATGTGACACAGATCTTCCTTAAGTGTCATTGTAAGTAAAGAGGAGTGTGAGTTCTGTGATGCTAAGTGACCCCGAGCTACACCATGACACTTACTTGTTTGCAATCTTTCATGACTATACTGTATCATGCTTATAATTTGGATGAATGCATTGTAGTAGGGTTATTTATGTGGCACTGAGCTTGTGAGCTCAGCGTATGGAATGTGTTTCCGTGAGCAGGTCCTTAGGTGTCGGTTCGAGGAGTACGTCGTCGATTCAGAGTTTTCCAGACTTGATTGCTTTCAAAGTATGTCTCGAGTATTTTAGTGTGCATGTACAGTCATAGACCCTTACATGTATTTGAGTCGTAAACTCTGTACTTTGTTTTTTTTATCATATTTCAAAGACTTATATGGGGAGCTCTTCCGTATTTAAACTACTATTATTTTGTCAAACATTTGGGATGATACATTATATTATGCTTTTGATGAAACATTTAAAAAAAATGGTTGGCCACTCTGGTGGTTCTGTGTGACATCATAGTCCATCGACTTTCGGGTTGAATCATATTAGGGTGTTACACGATCCCTTTCTCAATTATTGTTGTTAGATATCTATAATGCTTCTAGCTGGTGATACCAAACATGTGATTATTATAGCTATTTATAAGTTAGCAAATTAAATATAAGGTCGACATATCTTGGATTTAACTTTGGTAGGTCACATGAGCCTACCAGAAATCTTATCTATACGTTGTAATTGGCTCGGGAGTTTGTTCCAAAAGGGTATGAATTCCTCGGAGGCTTCGATAAGCAAAGGGATTTGTCTGAGAGCCATGACTGGTGGAGCATTGACGGTTTCCATAGGTTATTCTCTTAACAAATTGTTCCCCTTAATCGATAGAACGTAATTAAGTGCATTGATCCGAGAGTTATTTAGAAAGTATAGTGATCCTTTCTCGATTTTGTTGGATGGTGGAGGCATTTAAACGCTTACACTCGAGTGGAAGGCAGTCTTAGGTGGGCTTGCGGAGGGGATGCCTGCCTTCGATGCCATGTGATGTTTGCAGATCATTTCTTATTATTAGAATAGGCGTATCTCGACTCCTCTAGTCGGAGTGAAGACGATTCGACAAAATCTAAAGATGTCCAGAAAATGAGTAAAGAAGTATTTGGTAATTGAAATAAAAATGTTTAGACACCAAATTATATATCTTAAAACCAAGTTTAAACACCAAAATATATATTTACGTAAAGGACCAGAACTGCTTCACAATCATCAACTATGGAAATAATACTTCTTGGTACTGAATTGGAAGAAGTTATTATCGCTAAAATAATTATTATAAATGTGTAACAGTTATAAATTTAGAGCACCAAACAAGTGAGGGGAATGTTAATGATTTTCTTTGTGCTAATGGGCTTGCTGTGTATGGTTTGCAAGTGACCTTGTTTAAAGGGTTTTGGTGCAATATATCCATATTCATCGAAAAAAAATTAAAGCAACAATATGTTATTTTTTTCCTAGTAAATATCGTCACATTTCCTCTCTCTCTCTATATATATTAGGTTGAACAATATAATTTCATGTCAAGATAGGATGATTCTTCCACGTTCGACGAGCACCACTAATGATAAATTAATTTAAAAATAAGCACCACTAATGCTGAGCACCGATAAATTAATTTATAAAACGTTAAAATTCTAAGGATTCAATGTATAATTATAAATTAGTTAAAATTTTAAAGGTAAATTATACAAAGGACCACATAACTATTGCCCTTTTTATTTTTTACCATCATTTTTGAAATTTTGTCAATCATGTCACTCAAGTACTATTTAAATGCATTCAATAAAATCACTTTCCGTTAATATTTAACGAAAAAGTTGATGTGACAGTTAAAATATTTGGTATAATTACACATTTAATCATTATTACTTATATATTCTGTCAATTTGGTCCTAATTTTAATAAATTAAAATAAATTTAACCCTCAAATATGCTAAAGTAATTAATTGGAGAGGAATTCAATTTAATGCCAACAAATACAATTTTTTCTTTTCTCTTTATCGGCTTTTATTATTTCTAACAATAAAATAAAATAAACATGTCAAAGTTTTATGATGAGAATGCCAACATTTCTCTATGTTCTTCGGTTTTTAGCTAAAAATACTATATTTTACATGATACACGCAAGACAATTAGTGTGACAAATTCATGTGTTTAAATTAGATTTTTATTTTTTATTTTAATTACTTTTAGATTGTTTGTTTAAAAATATTTATTTTTATTACTCAACTATCCAAGTATTATAACTTTACTTTTACCTAATTCGTCACATTATAAGTAAAATCTTTTTTTTTTGGATTAATTTTTAAGAGTTTAAATTTTGATATTTCTTAATATAGATGTATTTTTGAAATCAAAGCGTTTAATATTTTTTTTTAATTTTTAAAAAATGAAATCAATTTTTTGTAAGTTTTCTTTTCTTTTCTTTATTTTTTTCCTACAAATTGAAAGAATAAGATGAATAAAGACTATTTTGGTACCATTTAATTTGAGGGTTAAGTTTATTTTAATTTATTAAAATTAGGACAAAATTGATAGAACATATAAGTAACATGAACCAAATGTATAATATTATCAAATATTTTAATTGTCACGTCAGTTTTTCCGTTAAATATTACTGGAAAATGACTTAATTGAATGCATTTAAATAGTTGAGTGACCCGTTTCACAAAATTTCAAAAAATGGTGGTCAAAATA